TGTGCAGACAGAACTGCATCAGCTCCCGCCGCAGCACGCGCCGCGCATGGCACCGGACACAAAACCCAGGCGTCCGCCCGCTGTGCTGGCCATGAGCTCATTGTTCTGACTGCCTGGTGCCGCGCCCCCTGCTTGTTCTCGGTCGCGCACGCATGTCGGTGTCATATCATCCCGAACCACATCATCTCAACCGTCACCATCTTACGGCATCATCGTATCTAACCGCACCGTCTTACCCAAGTATCGCCCGCCCGAGGTTGGCGCAGCGCTGACCGAGCCGACAACGCCGGGCCGCCCGTCCTGGTAACACGTGCCCAGCGAAACTACAAGGCCGTCGTGTAAACGTGCGCACATGCAATTCGTTATTGATAAGTCAGCTTGGTATGTTCGGTGCAGGCTTGGGTTGCTCCGCTGTGACACCTGATAACGTCGCCCGGAATCCTCGGTGGATCTGCTCTCGAGATCAGTGTGTCTGGATTGTTTTGCTAGCACCCTTTTATATGGACAAACTGTTATTTCAATAACATTTTCGGGTACAAGCTATCTGCGTTTAATGCTTGATGTCGCTGGTCACTGTGATTAATCATTGGCGTCGCGATGTACATTACATAGCGTGGATGGAGCACGGGTAGGTATATAGATAATAATTGTCCTTGGCTTTTGCCATTTTTGCCTTTTGCTTGTTGCATTATTGATAGACTAGTTACCACAATCGGGTAGCAGACTGCTGGTGCCTGGCTACTTCCGCGTCACGTGGCTAAGTATAAATAAGGCACCTGCACATCATGTCGGTCATATCTGCACTCGCTTGAACTCAAGCCCGACTTACTTTGTAGACACAACTGCTGCTCGATCCTGGCGAGGATTTCTAAAGACTGCCTACATTACCACGCCACTGTCGCAGTGCCAGATTTGCTTGGCTCAAATGAGCCCGGCAGGCGTGCCTTTTACTTCCCTTTTATGGTGATTATCTGGGCAGAAGCCGTGGCATTCGCGGTGGTGTGGGTGGACAAGATACCAGGTGTAAGTCGTTATCAGGCGGCGGCTATCTGACTTCGATGGTGGAGCAAATGAGCATAAGTTCATTCAAATCGCTCAGATAAGGGCCGATGGCTGGTTCTGTGAACCAATGTTCCAGTTTGCAAGCGCCGCTGTCATGACGACTGATGGCCTTATGAAGCCCTGGCTAACACCCCTCATCCATCTAACTGGCAGCTGGGCTAATTCATTCGCGGTGAACAGCTCCTCGCATTGCCCCAGCCAGTGGACCTTTCCGCAGTATTATCCTGCCGCCACGGCCATTGGGTCAGTTAACTTGAGCCAGGTCTCAGCCAAAATTACGCGGGACCGAGCCCTTTGATAAAGCTGAGAAGTAGCAGAGAGAGCGCCTGTGCTGCAGTGCTCACGAACAATCTATAAACTTAAGGTCATTGTGTTGTTTTCAGGACGAATGTCCATGGATCCACCACTGAGCACTTGTTCTGTGTCCTTTCCGTATGCGAAAATAGACGGCATGTCAGCGCTGGTAGACGCGTCTTCGTGCTGGTGTCTGTCTCTATTGCGCTCAGCTCATTTAGCCCCAGTTGTTCGCAGCTGCCCATTGCAAAACCCATTTCAACCAGGCCTGGCAGCTTTGTGCGTGGGTGGTTAACATGTGCACCCTTCTCGTGATTTCCTGTTAAAATGTGCAACCCTGGGTCGTTATTTTCGGAGCCCTTGTATCTTTACGATCTTACATTATTTCACTACAAATGTTTGCAGTGTACTTGTAATGTGTGCAAAGATCTTCAACTGCCTGTAAGTCATGCACGAATGATACCCTAGTGCCTGAATCTTGTTCACGCGGTGGTCGCTTGTGCGTGATCTTGGCCGACAAATGTTGTACATGTGCCGTTAAGTACGCTTACAAAATACAAGTCACCCAGGGACAGCCATTTTATGGAATTTCGGGGTCTGAGCCCCCTCCCCTTATGCTAACGTGAGTCCCCACCTCCAATGCTCCCCTGAACTCCCATTACCGAAGAAACATCGATCTGCAAACTACTACTACACTGGATACTTGAATATATCACCGTTAACATTATTTTCATTTTGTACCAAATAGTATCCTGTAGATACATGCGTCATGTTTGTTTTTTATGCTAGCTGCCTCATATGTTCTGTCAGCCTGGAACTGTTGGCAAGTTTTTAAACAGATGACACAGTTGGATGGAGACAAAAGAATGGACTGCAATATTGACAGCTTTTTAAAGCGGAGGGAACCAGGTAAACCGAGTATTTCCTCAACGGTGATACACGTATTTATCGCACAATCGTGGCTGTCGTGACATTCGGCAGCCAACCCAATGGTAAGACACGAGCGGTGGACAGCGGTGGAACGGTGGAGCGGTGGACACCGGTAAGACACGGGTAGTCGATTGTCAGCTCGGTTTTGTCAAGGGTGATGCGTCCACTTTAAGTCGGAAGGCTACCCTGAGCTCTTGAGGGCTCACTGGGTCGTCCATGTGGGCATGGCGTTTGACCTTGCCCGCAGTATGCAATCCAGGGACGACAGATCTGGCGAGTGAGGAGTCCCAGCACGGCAGTCTAAATTCATGAAAGGCGCAGGCAGTGGGGGCGCACAGGGGCAATGCCCCCCCCCCCCCCCCCCAACCCTTGGGGAAGACGATTAAGGGCCCGATTTGAGCACCCGAAGGGCCCGAAAGGCTGGCCGGAGGTCGCATTCAGGGGTCCGGGTCAGGCACGCCAATGCCAGCCAGACGGCGCTTTGTGCCGATCAGGAGCCACTTGAATCGCACCCTTAGTACCACACAGTTGGCTCAGTGCTGGCACGCGCTTGAGGGCTGATCTCCCGAGCAGGAAAAAGTCGGAAAGCTATTTGTATTGGTCGGAATACCAGCGTCTTCCAGGCGCCCACATTGCCTTGCAGAGGGTCCTGTGTTGGCAAGGGGCCCCGAGGCCAGAGGCAGTGTTCGGGGAGGCCTGGAGAGATCCTGGAGGGCCCACCGGGACCGACGATCGAGGGCTCGATTGGAGGGGCTAAGGCCGCAACAGGCTGGCCGTAGTCTTCTTTAGGCGCCCTGGCCTGCGAGGACTGGCCCTTAGATCACTGTCGGAGGGTCCTTTGCGCCGATCGGGCACTCCCTGAGTCGATAAGGGCCTATATGTCGGTCAGACACCACCAACACCGCACAGTCCGCTCCGCATCGGTATGAACTTTAGGGCCCACTTCCCAAGCCGTGGCGAAGTCGGGGCAGGCAATTTGCACTGGTCGGGGCCCTTGTATCTGCCGGGGGCCCTCAGTACCTAACAGGCGGTCCTGTGGGGCAAGGGGCTCTGAGCTGACCAAGGGAAGGAGGATGTTCAGTGAGGCCGAAGAGGGGCCTGGGGCCTCATCAAAACCGACGATCGAGAGCCCGGTTGAAGGGCAGAAAAGCCCGAAGGGCTGGCTGCAGGTCACGTAAAGGACTCCCGGCCCGTGGGACAGTGACTTGAAATCTCATTCAGAGGGTCTCTTGCGCCAATTGAGGACACCTGAGACAGTACGAGCGCTTATGTCAGCCGGAGGCCACCAACACCGTACAGTGGGCTCCATGTCGGTCTGAACCCAGGAGACCCACTTTCCAAGCAGGAGCAAGGCTGGGGCCCACAATTTGCATTGGTCTGTGTCCTTGAAACAGTGATCGGGGCCCCTGTGTCGGTCAAGGGTCAACAGTGTGAACCTGGGCGCTTGTCGGCACGTGGCCCCGAGTTCGTCACGAGCTCTGTTTTAGAAAACACGAAGAGGGCCTGCGGGGCCACCGAGGACCAGAGATCAAGACGTGATTGAAAGGCTGAGCGGGAGAATGTCTCAAGCAGCTTGCTGTACGTCACAATAAGGACGGCCTCCGCATCGACTGAGGACCCAAGGGACAGTGCGAACCTTATTTCGGCCAGAGATTACCAACAACGAACAGTCGGCTTCGTCTTGGTCTAAGCCCTGAGGGTCCATTTCCCAAGCACGGCCAGAGCTGGGCCCGTGATGTGCATTGTTCGGCTCCCTAAAACAGTGAAGGTGTCGGACCTCTTATCAAGGCCCACAGCACATGATAAGAGGTCCTGCGTTTGCAAGTGGCCCAGAGTCGGCTAGGAGCTGTGTTCGAGGGGACGTAAGAGTGTCTGAGACCAGATATCAAAGGCCCGGTTGGGAGGCTAAAAGGCCCAAAAGGACTAGTTTGAGGTCACATTAAGGATGGAAATGATCGACGTGATCTCAAATGCCAGTTAGAGGGCCCCTTGTACAGATCGGGGGCCCTGAGATAGCGCGTTCCTCAATTTCAGCTGTAGGCCACCAATTCCTGGCAGCCAGTTCCGCATCGGTCCGAGCTCTAGGGGCTCATTCTCCAGGCAGGGACGAGGCCGGGCCCGCGATTTACGTAAATCGGGACCCCTGAAACCCAGGAATAAATCGGAACCCCTGATTCGGGACTCTTGCGTGGGTCAGAGACCCCTTGTGCCCAACCGAATGTCCTGTGTCAACAAGGGCCCCGAATCGGCCAGAGGAACATTTGCTAAACAGGGACGGGGAGGGATCCTCGAATGCCAGAAGGCCTCTTGTGTTGGTCGGGTCCTCTGACAATGAAATGTAACATGAGAACGTATGGGCCCTCAGTCAGAGTCCCCTAGTACCGAGCGGTGAGCCCTCAAGCCCACTGCCAGCCATGAGCCCGTAACCCGAGCTGGAGTCTAGGCGAAAATTATTGGACAACAAGCAATTATGCGATCAGATATGCTTTTGCGTCAATAAGATTTCTTGCGTTTAGCCAAGGTCAACTGTGCGGTTCAGAAGGCCTCCCTCGTCAGGGAAGGACCAATGTGACATGATGTATCCTTGTAAGAGCCTCTGGATTGACGAGGTAACTCGCCCCGTGTGTCCTGAATGACAGCCGGAAGACACCCCGCTCTGGGACGAAATAGCCCTTCAGTCCTTGACCGGGAACGGTAATGTGCCACCCTATTATTCCACTCTAGGGAGCACCTTGCTTCGAAAAACGAAAGGGTCTCATTATTATTAAATAGAGGAGTGTCAAAATGAGTTGAAATTGGAAAAGTTAGCCCTGGTTTACCTGAAAACTCATTCTTTTGAAAAATCAACTAGAGTAGCAGCTTGCCTCAAAAGGTTTTAAGCCCCCTGCGCTCGCAGTCTCAGGAGCAAGAACAGCGATGGCTGTGGTTGCAGATTTTGTGAAACCGAACGGCGTTGGCCACCACCAGTGATGCCAGTCGGCGTTAATTCCGTGTGCTCGAGATCGGCCGTCGTAAAACAAAACTCCCAGGAATTTTTCAAAATAAGTTCTTACTCTTCAAAAGTTAGGCTTGTGGGCATCTTCTAAAAATTCTGGGATTGTTCTCTGGATGGATTAACAGTGACAGCAACAGAAGAAATAGAGATTTTACCTTTGCTGCCCCAGTTCCGCAACCAAATTTTCATCCCCGGTCTGCCAACGCTTAACGATAGCCGCGGAGCTGACGCCGAGCAGCTCGCGGAACAACGACGGACGTCGAGCTTTCTGCTGCTAAGTTTTGTGAGCGTGCATGCTCAAAACTACCGTATCACTAATCGATTCTGAATTGTTATTGAACATTTTCAGGCAAACAGGGGTTTGCCATCTTCATGCATACTTTTGACCTATTTCTATTCAAAAGCTACGCTCACTGATTCCCTATTATTTCTGTACAGCTCAGATCAAGATCATGGCAAAGCTTCCTGACTTCTTTCTGTTTACAAGGAACGCTACGAAATATTGCAAAATGCACAGCGACGGTTATATATTTCATGCAGTTACTTACCGCTTGATTTCTTCACTTTCGGAATTCAAGTATGCTTATAGCTTGTACTCCAGTTTGGAAGGTAAAAATATTCAAATAGACAAGACCGTACCACTCATTAACAAATAGGCCACATCCAGCGATTTATTGCTGAAGGAGGGGGGAGGCTATCATCATTGGCGGGCTCTGTCTCAATCCCTAGGCCCTCTCCCTTCCCCTTGCCAAAGCTCTGCCTCCGCCTCTGTTTCTTTTGGTTCAAAAAGAGTCCACGGAACCATTTTAACATGAAGAGCGTCATACTGCTTCCCCATGTAGTCATTTAACGCTTGACTTCATCAGTTTATGTTGGCTTTAACATTCAAAGAGCGTTGACTTCACGATGCCTTCGGGCTTCCGTTCCTGTTCAAAAGGTAAAAATAGCGATAAAGCGAAAAAATCGCGTCCCTCACCAACAATTGGGCCATATTCAGCGATCTTTTTTTGCGGGGGGCTTTCACAAGCAGTGGACCTTTGTCAACCCTGGACCCCCCCCCCCCCCCCACCTTGCTAAGGCTCTGGCTGTGCCCCGCTGCTATCTCAAGCTCAAATCTCATTGTAAAGGTGAATAGCTCCCTTCAACAGCGGCGATGACTTTCTGATCAACCTGATAACTTTCCGCCCTCCGGCTGTATAGAACACTATGCCCCTACTTCATGTGGTGAGTGGATAAGTGCAACAGAAGCACAACATAGTGCAAAGAAAGAAAACCGAACGTTTTCCCATATCTCCGTTATATGGTCTTGCATGTTTCAAAGCACGCAGGGAAATAGTGCAAGGCACGTTAAACTACCTGAAAGTTAGACAAAATAGTAGTGCCCCCTATATAGTACTAAAAGGAACAGTTTTGTGACAAAGTTATTCAAAAGTAGGGTCAGAAACTATTTCACGAAATATTGACTAAGTTAAGGACGTCTGAAAATACACCACGGACGTGGTGCAAATAGCTTAAAACCACTATCTGTCGCACCACGGGTGGGCTGTGGGCTAAACGCAGGCGCGAAGGCACGATCGGTCAAATAGATCCGTACACACGTAAAATCAAGCCGGCTCCCAAATTGGGAAATGAGGGGCTGAAAACGGAAAAAACTCTGAACCTGCTCCGAAGTACACAACCAAACGGGTTTTCTCCGGATTTCGGCTTCTCTCATCTCGCAGTTGGGGGCTGAAAGTGTTTAATGTTCGCTCTTTTGGTACGCAGGGAGGTTGATACTTTTCATACTTTTACACCCCGGTCTGAGCGTCTGACTGACATATAGGCCCTTATCGACTCTGGGGTCTCTGGCCAGCGCGTAGGGCCCTCTGGATGGCGTTGGTATGCCCGTTCCTGTGGGGTGGGCCCCTGAATGCGTTCTCCGATCGGACTTTCAGGGCCTTCGGGCCCTCTACCCGGGCACTTAATCGTAGGTCCCGAGGGGCCCGAAAAGCCCTCCCCCTCCAAACCTAGGGGCAGCACGTGCCCCCTGTGCCCCCGCCCCCGCCCCCTGCCTGCGCTTCTGTGCCCTGCACGCTTGAGTATATCTTGTATCGAGAAGTGTGCGGCCAGTGTCTGCTTCTCTACCAGCAACTCACTCGATGAATATCTTCTGGTGAAATTTAGCACACGAGGTCCCGACTTGTAGGCATCGCTGGTGCAAACTCAAAATGCAGACACCTTACC